AATATCGAATTGGAATAAGTTATATATTTGTACTCTCCTTTGTCTCCATAGCAATATTAAAGCTCGAGGATTTTATATTTGTTTAATTTCCATGACTTTTGTGATTAGGAGAAGTGAATGATATCGATTGAGTGGTGCTGAGCTTTTGATTTTGAGACTTACTGTATGTATGATGCATTTTTTATTTTGATTCGCGATTAACTATAATTTTTTTTGGTGCTCTATATATTTATTGGAGTTAATTGCAATTAGGAGTACAAATCAAATTGAAAACCATATCAAACCAACAAAAAAACCTTAACCAGATTTGGTTGGTATTGAGTAAGAAAAATGAACCTTATCAACAAATATGTAATTATCTATCTTCCTTACAAACTTCATATAGGATTTGTTAAGAACATATGTTAAGGAAATATTTGTGATTCTCTCTTTGGATGTTTTATAGAACTATGTATTACATCCATTTTATATACTTTAACTAATGGTCAATCTAAGTGTAATTGAAATGCGTCAATTTATTAGTTTTTTCCTATATTTGTGATTCTCCTTTTGGATGTTTAGAACTATATAGTACATCTTGGTCAATCTAAGTGTTACTTAAATGTGTCGAATTTATTAGTTTTTTCATATTTATATTTCCATATTTACTGTACTCTTTCATCTTTTTCGAATTTGATTGTATTTATTGGTAATTTTTAAAATTAAAGACAGTATCAATTTTTAGGTTTTATGTCGACTTTTGTGTTTAATTATTAAAGTTTAATTAAGTTTGAACGTGTGCATCATTGAAAAATTATTGTTAGACTAACAAAATAACCATCATGTGTTTAATAGTACGTATGTATATCCATTTGTTAACTACTACTAAATATATATTGAGTTATTAAAATTGTCTATAACTCAAAAAATGTTAATACTGAAATAGTATTCATTGGACAAAAAACCAGAAAATTGAACCAACCAAACCGCCCCATGTATACCCCTAACTGCAATGAACCAATGATGGAGCTAGGAACATGTATGGAAATATAATGATTAGATCTATTTTTTTGTGTGTGTTTCTGCGTAGACTTGACGCTTGCTAGTTAATCTGCAAACTTTCCATAGATACATATATTTCTAATACGTATGAAATGTGTGTTCAATAGGGATGGGAAGAAGGAGAAGGCCTAGGCAAGAACAAGCAAGGAATCAAAGGATATGTCAGAGTTCAGAACAAACAAGACACTGCAGGTTTTTTTTGACTGCCTTATTGCTTCTGTAGTAATAATGTTCTCTGGTACGTTGCTGCAGTAAGGAAAAAGAACAACTCCCCTTCTCCTCTGTGTGTGTGTGTGTGGAAGGGGGTTTGAGGGTTTTGTGGGTGGGGGTGGGGGTGGGGGGTGATTGAACAAAATACAGATTCCTTAGCACTGCAATGAAGTAGCAAGTGATTGCCACCGAGTGCTATGCTGGTTCACTGTGTTTTGTGGAAACTGAAGTTGGAAGAGATTTTGTTATCTTCTTTATCATTCGGCTTTCAAAAATCAATAATTAGTTGCTTTTGTTTTTTAATTATGAAATAGGTATAGGTACAGAAAAGCCTAATGAATGGGCTTTTGACACTGCTCAGTTTGATAGCATACTTAAAAGATTGAAAGTGGTAACTCTCTTTTTAGACTTTTGAGTTTTAATTAATTAGTAAGTTTTTTTCCAAGTTTCTATATGATTAATATTCTTTTATGTTATTTGGCAGCAAACAGCTGAAACCAACAATGATGAAGGTATATTGAATTGGAATTGTTCTTAATTTATACTTGAACTTTTTCATTCTGTTGTATGAATTATTTTGGTTGTTTCTAACGGTAAAAGAGAAAAAAGAAGTGCAAAATGACAAGGCAACAGGAACTTCTAGTGGCGAACAAGAGACTGTTGCTAAGGTTACCAGGCCTCAAGGAAGGTGAGCAAGTTAATGTCACTGTATGCTTCTTCACGTGTGGTGAGCTGGAGCCTGGAACACATTGCAATAATATCTTTTATTTTTCTGTGCACCAGATATAAGAAAAGGGAGAGAGGGAAGCTTGTCCATGGATATTCAGCTCAGGATCTTGAAGGAATTCTTGTAAGTTTACTTTTGCATGACAACTGTGTTTTCACTATATGGATATTGATTAAGGACATACCAAGCTCACCAGCAATTTTTCCTTGATGTTGTCTCTGACGTTGTTAATTTATTATTGTTGTAGACAATCAATGAACAAACTATTTTTAGGGTACTTGACCATTCAAAACCTGTATACTTCCATAACAATTAGGAGCACTGGCAATACAATCGAAATGTTTATTTGTTTTATATGATTAAATATTCACTTGTTCAATTACATAAGAAAATTGAAAATTGTATCAGCACTTGGCATCTGTTCTAGTTGGAGGATAAAGATACTCGAGAAAGAGTCGAGGTCTGATGAAGCTTAGTGGAACCATGATTGTCTTGTTCAAAAAAAATGCAATCACTTGCCCATATTTGAGCCTTATTTGACTCAAAAGCTTGTAATTCATGCTCCTTTTGACAATATCTTCAAAAAAAAATCTTTTATGTAGGTCAAAAAGACAAAGACTTCTCAGACAAACGATGATCAAAAGGTACCAGATACAGCAGAGACTATTATTGTTGCCGATGATGCATGTAAGTTCTTGATATGTAATTTGCAGTTAGGCTGTGTAAGCCTCCTTTGATCTAGTAGATGTTTTCTTGCTATGTTTAGTTTCCAATCAAAAGGTATCGAATCAAGGCCCATATACAATGTAGGAAGATTGTGTTATTTCATTGATTTGCTTTGTCTGGGTAGGGCTTTCTTTTTGTTGGTGCAGGGAGAGTTTGGAAATACGAGTAGGTATTAATTTCTGTCTGATCTGCATTGCAGCTCCTGTTTCTCAATCATGTCTATAAATATTTTTTCGTTTTCTTGAAGGGTGGTGGGATAGTTGTGGCAGTGTATGTTTATTAGTGTGTGTGAATGTTTAAGAAGGATATGTTTACGTGATTTGAGGAATGTATTTTAGTACTTGTTGAACCTGGATTGGGCTTTTAGAGATGAGTGCTGATTGTTTACTAAACTAATTCTTTTTTGCCAGGGAATGAAGATCAAGGGGTTCCCCCAGAATGGTGGGGCTATAAAAATGGATTTGTCTCAGGAGGATTTCTTGGAAGTCAAGCTCGGAGAAAAACGTCATCCTCATCAGATAAGATGCGAGACTTCAGTGAGAGGACCACATTTCATGAGGATGATCAAGAAAATCTTTATAATCTTGTTCAAGTATGCTTTCCAACCATTTGAAGAAGTACAGATTTTATGCTAATTGTTATAAATGAGTTGAAATGTCACTGTCCCCTGAACACAATTGTGACACTTCCAATAAAGCTTTATCTTTACTAACTTCACCGATACATCTATATCTTCTAATAACTCTATTGTTGGCAAATATTATCAGGATCTGATAAGATAATGACAATGTCTTTCAACTGCAGAACACAGCCACAACTGGAAAACAAGGGCTGGGTATCAAGGACCGGCCTAAGAAGGTTGCTGGTTGCTACTTTGAGGGGAAAAAGACATCTTTTGATGATAGCGATGATGAAGATTCTTCTGAGTCAAACCCTCCCATGAAAGAACATGAAGAAACCAGTGACCCAATCAAAAATGATGAACCAAAATTGAAGCTGAAGAAATTGTGTAAACGACTGTTGAAACAGGTTTCTCCTTGGATTGCTTTTGTCACTTGTTAAGTGATTTATTTGAGTTCATATCTTGACTTCCCTTTATTGATGTCCCATACTCCAGGCACCAGGGAACTCGTTAAAACTGAAGCAGCTTAAAGTGCTAATTGATGAACAATCATCAGATTTTTTCTGCAATTTCACTAAAAAAGAGTCACTTGCGTTTTTGAAGTGCAAGGTAAGTACTTCTGTTGCAGTCTTCTACAGGAGATATCGTTCACCGTCTTTGCAATCCTGTTTTTGGGTTGTTCGTTTAGCATACTGATTGACTTGTCTCCTTGTATGCAGCTTGAAGGCAGTGACAAGTTCTCAGTGGAGGGAAAGAGGGTGTCTCTTTCGTAAAGAGAACTGAAAGAATTTTGCCGTAGCTGAGTTTAGCTGTAACGTAATGTAGATGGCCACCGAGACTAGGTTCACAGTAAATCAAGTTTATTTTGTTTTGCTGAGAGATATAGCAAGGAGCACAACATTGCGTTTAGGGGAGTACAGCATTTAGGCAGTCATTTCTTCACCCAGTGATCTGCCCTTCTTCTTTTTCTTCTCCTTCTCTTCTACCACCCTCCTCACTGTTTTGTTTTGATCTTTTTTTTTGGGTGATAATTTGTGTTTTTTTGGCCAAGAATAGAGGTGAGTATAAGTTGTATTATTAACAGATGCATAATTATTTGATTGTTACACATTTATAATTTGTTATTGCACAAATGAGATGGGAGGTTTCACCCCCCTTTTCCCTGATGAATGGCCGGCCATTTTTTTTTTCTTTTATTATGGAGTGGTCAGTTCGGTATGTCTCTATATGGTTTAATTGTGCGAATACTTTGCAGGCTCCCCTGCTCATAACGGACCCTGTGAGCTCTGAATTTCCGCACATTCATAACACTAGTCTGGTGTGTTCAGTTTATTTTGGGAATTTGTTTCCTTTGTTAAGTTGAAGATTGCATATCTGCTCTGATGGTCATCGAGTCGAACTTCAGTTGAATGCCGTAATCTTAGATCTTTCAATGTAAGAGATCCTGTTGTTTTGGTAAACATAATAAGTCTTGATAGCAGTGACACTCCGAAATGAGGCGCTAGCTAAATAGACCGCATCAATGCACAAGAAAGCCGTAATGGTATCAATTCCTAATACGAATTGATTTTTAAGTGCTGAACTTCCTACACCGTTCAGTTAAGCATTCAATTCTGGAAATCCAATAGTTTCTCAGTACTTGTTTTCGATGAGTAGGCAAATTATTAGAGGTAATTGGCTTGTACTATTTTTGTCGCAAGGAACTTCACCAAGTAATCATATCCATGACAATAGAGAGCTTCAATCTCTGCCCTTCTACCACTCTGAATCATAGCAGCCACCTCTTCTTTGTAGCTATCCTGGAAAAAACCGGTATGTAACAATTTTCCGAACCAAATAATGGAGAAAGATTGCGTTTCTGTTGTAACTGGAATTATACCTGCAGAATCTCTGATGACATTAAGCTCTTGGCAATCTGGAGATCTCGAGGTTTCAAAGGGACCAAACATTCTTCAGGTATAAGTTGATTAATATCATCCTTCCGCAGTCCTAACCACTTGACATTACAAGCTTAAAAAAACATGCAGAGAAACAGACTCCTATAAGTGAAGTTAAGAAGACAACAAGGATACATGATTCAACATAACTTTTAAGAGAAAAGAGCACCATATCTGTATGCTTCAAGTCCCATCCCTATGCTTCCAAACTTGAAGGTGCAAAGGATTGCTAATCCAGCCGGGTTCCTTAAAAATCACAATTTGATTTGTAAGAGTTTTGCTCTGTAACTATGTGATGGCAATACTAGTCAAGTCAGTTATACCAGTCAACCAGCCCCAAGACTGGCAAATTAGGGAACATCCGACATATTCGATGAAGCAGAAACCTGAATAAGTTGTTACAGATTAGAATATGTTATGAATTAATACTTGAATGGACAATCTCCTAGCAGCTATTCTGTAAGCTAGAACATCAGAATAAAGTTCTATTTGAAGATGTTTATAAATCTTCACGTCACCTAGTTGCAATATCAGGAAATCCTTTGGCAGTAATCAGAATGCATGGGATGTGATTGAATACACGATCCTCTGCTAGTCGCTGGAATATAGCATGCTAAAAAGTGGAACTAGTTTTAGTTTCTTGCAAAAATGATTGACTAGAGTTCCCAACAAGTGATAAAATACCTTTTCCACCATGATGATGTATCGAGCATCTGTTTCCATGGTTAATTTTTCCAGCAATTCCAGGTCTCCTGATATAGCATAACCCGAAGATCCACAAGCAGAGCAGTCAATAACTTCCTTGTCTGGCTCCTATCTCAGTGGTGTAAAGAAACAAACTTAAGTCATATGTCCATCTTTGAAGAAAGAAATACCAAGTTCTAACTGTTGGATAAACTACCTATTTCAAATTCTTGAACAAGCTTTATATAGGAACTTAGAGACTTGTACATCATTTAAGTAATAGGTTCATTGAGTTTTGGCACAAATTCAAGATACAAAGCAAAATAGTTGATCATAGACGGCTACCAGCAGCTAGCTCTTATCAACTATAGAAATTTGGAAACATTGAAAGTTTTGACTAGGTTGGCTCATGTTGAAATCAAACAATCGGTTGTGCCTCAATCATAAACTAGTTGAGATGGGCTATATGAATTCTCTATATCCATTTGTTGTACATGGCCTATTTCATTCCAATATGACAGATCATGTTACTGGCCAAGTCAAAATACTAATACTGCTACGCGTTTGATTAAATTAAAATATAAACATTTGAAATTACAACCAAAGGGTTGATAATAGTACCTGTAACAATAAACGGCCTGCTATTGCCCCTCTGCTTGATGCCATTATTCCAAGGCTGTAACGGCTGCATCGAAGCAAAGCCACCAAGTCTGTTCCTCATAGATAGTAAATGAAGGACCTCGTGTTAACAAAATCAACCGAACACACAGATCATATTCAGATATGATGAAGAAAGAAGAAAGAACAATGACCTTGGATGGTCCTATTAACCTGCAATTGAGAAGTGAAGTAATCTGGTGAATCACAGAGCAGCTTGTAGTATAGCTCTCTCTGTGTCACCCTCTTTTCCTGAACCAGAATTTGGTAGCACATCTCCATAACCTTCCAAACTTGATCACAAAAACATTGCCAGCGTCATTGATTTGTCTAATAAGTAATTTGATGGTAAGAAACTTGTAGCCTTTTACCTCTTATGAATGACTTAGCACTATTCTCTCTCGTCAAAGAACGCGTGCAAAAAGAATGGGACAGGAAGATCCATGAATCACCGGTAAGTAACCCACGGCTCACTCTGCTATTGCTGGAGTTCCTACTGATCTGCATCACATATGCCATATATAAATCATCAACTATGCCTCTTTTTGACGTCCACTATATGAATCATCTATATCCATTTATGTTCAGGCCTAATTCATCCCAAAACTGGTAAGTCATTTGTTCTTTGAGGTGACAGAGAGGTTCACATATAAATCTCCCAAAGTTGCTTAATTAAGAACAATAAGCATTCTGAACAATTAACGAAGCATCAATCCAATGGATTTATCAACTTTTTTTTGGATTTGTTTATAACTTGATGATGCTTACAGCAGGCATATGAAGTAAGCTAAAAGTGCAAATTATAGAGAGATTTCGTTTCGAAAAGATGAAGATGTAAAATTTCAAACCAGTGATAGATCAGAAATTGACGGAGAGTTTGAACTTAGAGCTTTAAGAAAATTCAGGACCGCAACTTCGATTCGAGCTCGGACCTGAACACAGAAATTCGATTATATCAGAAAACAAATACATGCTGCAATCGCGACATGGTTAGAACTTTGAATCTACCAGTTCATCTTTTCCCATGGACTAAAATATATCGATCCGATTTAATTTAATTGAACTTCCAAATGAAGCAATTTATACATTCAACACTGCTAGAAATCTGCGAATGTTTTGGTGACGGAGAGTTACCTGTGAAGAAGGAAGGATATCGGCATAGCAGAGGTGTTGATCGGAGAAGAAAATGGTTGATCTGCAGAATTCTCCCATAGCTTCAAAATGGCGGTAAATCTGCAATTTTGAATTCAGAGGCTAAGCATTTATATAGTGTTTGATTTGGCCCACTTTTGCATATCCGGGTGAATTTATTCTCCTTCATTTTATATTAATTGAATTTTTAAAATATTTTTATTTTTGTCAAATGAACTTAATTGTTTAATTTTCAAGACTATTTTTAAAATGTTCTTTCAATTTTATTATTAGTATTGAAATTAATTATTAATTAATGTTTAGTTATTTTAATCATATATTTAACAATACAATAACAATAAAAATAGAAAATTATGTCTAATTTATGTTGTAATTTTCTTTTTTTAAAAAGCGTGAAACACCTCAACGATTTAATTGGACAAATTTCAATCATTTAATTGTATAATTTATCGTTTAAATGAGTTAATTTTTAATTTTTTCACCTTGAAGCCTAGAAATTAAAGACCACCACAAAATAGGAAATAATTTATTAGCTTCAATCGAATAAATTTAAAAAATCTAGAAGAATTAACTTAAACAAAAAATAATCTGTGAACTTTTTTTTTAATTATTATTAAAAATAATTGTACATAAAAACACATAACAAATTCATTCCCTCTAAAACAGAATTTGAAAAGGCCAACTTTTTTTCGAAATTCAAAAAAAAAAAGAAGTCTAAACCAAATGGAATTACTACCTGCTCTGTTTCTGTTTCGTCTTTATCTTCTCGTACACTTTACAGTACTATTCATAACAAACTTCTTCCCATTTCCATTTTTCTCTTCCTTATATATAAAACCATTTCTCTGTAGACAAACAACAAAACAATGGCGACAAACAGCAATGAAATCGACCATAGCTTACTTACACTGTCTCTGTCTTTTTCTCCGTCTCCCGTCGTAGCACCGCCACCTCCACCACCGCCACCGCCACCACCATCTCGCCGTCCACGTAAACGAAAGCGCACATTGAAAAGCGAAACGATTCCGGCGCCTTATCCATGGGCGACTAATCATCGAGCGAAGATTCACAGTCTTAATGTGCTACGATTGAATCAGATTTCAACGATAACAGGTGAAGTTCAATGCAGAAGATGTGAGAGGAAATACGAAATAGGATTTGATTTGTGTGATAAGTTTGCACAAGTAGGAAGCTTTATTTCGGCAAATAAAGAGTCTATGCATCAACGCGCACCGGATATTTGGATGTCGCCGATGTATCTGAATTGCAATTTTTGCGAACAAGAGAATAGTGTGAAACCGATCATCTCATCGAAAAAGAAATCAATTAATTGGGTATTTTTGCTATTGGGTCAGTTTATTGGATTTTGTACGCTTGATCAGCTCAAGTATTTCTGCAAACATAATGAAATCCACAGGACGGGTGCGAAGGATCGTGTTCTTTATCAAACCTATTTGTGTCTTTGCAGACAGCTTGATAATACTGGCCCGTTTGATTACTAAAACTATGAAAAAAGTGTCAGCAATTTGGGATGAAAAGAAGGGCTAGATTTTAAATGAAAAGGCTACAAGTTAAATGGGATTATTATTGCTAGGATGATTAGTATTTAGCTTTAGTTGAAAAAAGGTTTTATGTTTTTCTAGTGTAGCCAATATTTATTTTGGCTAATTAAAACGTAGCAATAGATATGTTGTGTTCTTTTTTTAAAAATTGTTAATGTTAAAGTTAATTTCTTGTTCAGTGATGAAATATCGTGTTTTGTCACAGGTTTGTAAGAGGGTAAATGGAAAGTTATTTTCCTCATTTACTCTTTTAATAAATTTATTTGTTTATTTTATCTTTTATACTTTATTCGTTCATTTTTATTATATATTTGGCATGATATTATGAAAATATTTATTCTATTTGTTTTTGTTTATATGTTAATTTTTATTTCACAAAATAAATACATAAATGACACTTTCATTTTTATTTTATATTGAAAAGTTATTTTTTTCATTCTTTTTTATATGTCACCTTTATATTTGTAAGTATATAAATAGCATGTATTAAAATTTTAATTTATTCTAATCATCATTGAACTTATTCTAATACATGTTATTTATGTACTTACAAGTGCAAAATGAGAGAATTTTAGTTTTGACAAAGTATATTAAGACAAATATTTTAAACAATTTCTTAAGGAAAAATATTAAAATGATTGCGAACACACCCTAAATCTTTGTTTGCTTTGGAATGGTTTCGATTAAGTCAAGCCTTTTCCAGTTTCCAATAATAACAGTTATGAGTAGTAATTAAAAGTGCTTAACGAATACTTATCATAATTTCAACAAACGATGCATTTTAATTATGCTTTTAATATTGTTACCTTCTTCTTTTTTAATTGATATCAATATAGTTGGGTTGTTACTTTTAATTATCGATATTAATTCAAGTCTTCCTCGGACTCTTCTTTCTTTAATTACTTGTTTATTTTTTCTATTAAAAAAATAATTATTGATATAGTAAGTTTATCATTTTAGCCATATTAATTACAAAATTAATGAATTAAAAATTAAAAATTTAATTAATTTAGCGTATAATAAATAAAAATATTTTATGTTTTCTTAATTTGTCAAAAATGAACAACTAATTAAGGACAACTAATAAAAAAAAGTAAACAAGTAAATAGAAAAAAGGGAGTATTAACAGAATCTATGAAATCATGCACACATGTTTGAGAAAAATATTTGAGGACATACTCACTCCATCTAATATTAATTGTCTATTAAGTATATTATTTAAATTGTTAAATATTATACTTGTTAACTTTATGAAATTAATTGATTATTTTAATACTTATTTTTTGATTTCCTCTTATCATATTTCTTTTCCTATTACATTTTTAGTAGGATGATTTGCATTAAGCTTGATTATACACTATAACAAAAATAACTTTAGTGACAATAAATATTGATCATAATAAAGAGTGCTAAAATTTTTAATGGCATTAGTTAAGTATCATTAAAATCAGTATCGCTAAAGGCTTTAGGGACATATACAAAGAGTGTTAATTGATGCTAAAAATATATATTTAACGGTAATTAAAAATTAATTGACGCTAATAATTATTTTTGATGCATTTGTTTAACGATGATTAAAAATTAATTAACGCTAATAATCATTTTTGATGCACGGACCCTTTGATTACTTAAATTATTAAAATATGTTGTTATAGTGTTGTTTTTATTATTTGTGGTTGAAAAACATGCTAGAAGTTAAATAGGAATACGTAAAAACTTTTGTTGGGATGGTTTGCATTTAGCTTTTAGCTGACACTAAAAGAAAACATACTCTTTCTGCCGATACAAATCACTAGAGATAGGCAAAATATTATCAAAAAAATTAAAACAGAAATTAAGCTTAATTTTCCATTTTTATCTTTATTAATTATTATCAAAATTATGATTAAAAATAACTAAATATTAATTAATAACGAATTTCAATACATAAAATATTGGAAAAAAGTGAGCAATTATTTCTGAACACACCCTAATTAATTAGAAAACATTTCTCAAAACACCATAATTATCTTTGTTGCTTTGGATTCAGTCAAATCTTTTCCAGTTTCCAATAATAATTATTAGTAGAGTAATTAAAAGGGCTTTATGAGTACTTATCATAAATTCTACAAACGATCATCTTGATTATAGTACATTTATACTTATCAAAAAAAATTTAGCATTATTTCTTAATGTGCATTTTATTTGTGGTTAATTTTTATTTTTTTGAATTGCGTTTAGATTTTATGTGTAGCAAATAAAATATTCTGGTACTAAACATCACAAGCCACTGCCAAACTATATTACATAGCCCGGCTTCAAATTGACTTCATATCAACCTCTTTTATCAGTATGTGTTGAGTATTTTTGCATAATTTAATATTGATGTAACAATATTTTTAAAGAATTCGAGCAATATAGTTTAAAGTAGCTTTCTTTTACTTTTGGTGCAGTTGTGCCATAAAAGAGGTAACAAGCATCAACGATATGTTCAACTGTAAAATGATATCAACTGATATAGTTGATAACATATATACAATTTTGAATTCCAAAAGTAGCTCAAAGAATGTGTTATAGACATCCTGCTAAAATACAAAATAATTTTTTTAGCTTCAACAAATATATTTTAACAGAGAGTGTTAAAATTTTTACCGACATTAATTAATTATTATTGAATTCAATTATGTCGTTGTAGACTTTAATAAGTACTTCTAAAACATATATGACAATACTTAAACTAATATCATTAATTATTGTTGCTAAATGTCATTTTTGGTATAGTGACACTTGCATTTTAGTGTGTGCCTATATAGCAAATGTAGAGTATCTTCAAATCATCGACAATTTCTTTCCTTCCAAATTCTCCATAATAATTCCTCCGTTCATAAATATTTGACAAATATATTAAAAATAAGTGTCCAAAATTATTTATCAATTTAAATAATTAAAAATTAATTAATTAATTAATTTTTTTCAATTTTATTCTTAATAATTACTTCATTTTATTCCATTTAAAAAGTACGTAGACTTTGATAATACATGACCCTCTCAGCCTAAATGATTACCAGTAGATTGACCAAAGTCCAAACAGAGACAACTAACTACTGTAATGTTTGAACCAAATAAAAAAATAACAACCTTTGAGCTTCGAAATTAGCACAGTAAAAAAATAAATTAAAAATTAAAAATTATTGCGTATGAGTTAAATATTGTGCATTATACACATATACATGTATTTATCTCATAATCCTAAGTAAAGAGTATTCAGCTAAACCCGCTATAAAAAACCAAAATTAGTCAGTACTACCACTGTTTCATTTACATGTGATGCGAATTCTAGGGTTCTTTTCATTGGCTTTTATAAATTTTCTAGACACGTAGTCAAGTCAATTAATTGTGTGACACTTGAAAAATGGGTGAGTGAGTTAGAAATTGTTCAAAAATTAACGACTATTTATGTTTTCATTTCAAGTTTTGCGGTGGCATATTACTCTCTTCGTATGATATTATTTGTCATGGTTTTTATTTTTAGAGTTAAATTATGAAAATTTTGATTAACATTTTAAGATGTATTTTTTCATCATATTAATATGTAAAAAAATTGCAATTTACACTACTTTTCATATAGTTTTAGAATATTTAATTTTTTTGTTTAAAATATAGAATTAATATGATTTAATTTAACATTGAAAATTAGTTAAATTGACTTTCATAAAACATAATATGACAAACAATTCCGGAGGAAGCATAATTTATCTTTAAAAATTAGTTAAATTTTTTACGATGAGATTTTTTTTCTTCAAAATAATCCTATTTAACGTGACATAAGGGTCTTTACATGAGAAATTACCTACAAATTGAGAAATATCCTCTCTTTTTTTTTTCTTCAAAAATAAAATAAAATAATTTCCTTTATTAGCTCACAGAATCCCACTTTTTAGATTATTTCTTCATCTTATCTTACAAGAAAGTAGTGTCATCTCTTTCTTGAAAATTCTGTAGGGTATATAGTAGTCACATCTTAAATATATAAAAACTCTAGGCATGACTAACTCATGTCAAGTTGTTTGATTTATATGACTAAACAAATATCACTACACGACCGAGTTGTGATAAGATAGATAAAATAAAATACGAGATTACAATTTTAAAAATAATGACATCAAAATTTTAGCCCCTTTAAGCTTTAAATTGATAATCTAAATACATTGCATAACTTTTTAAGAAAAAAGACAAATGTGAATCTATATCGTGTGGCCTGACGCAAAATTCTACTTCCTCTACCTTGGAATTCTTTTATCGTTAACTAGTTAAGGTTTTGATTTCAAATTCTAAGACTGAAAAATAATCAAGTAGAGAGTGTTTGTCCCTTTATAATAAGTTTTATATACATAACGTAAATATAATTTATCCATGATCGAAATAAATATTAAATATCGAACGAAGAATTAAGAAAATATAAAAAAATTTAAAAGCAAGTTGTGCGTGAAATATTGAATATGTACTACCGACTGATGTGAAGTTTTCTTATAATAAGAAAAAAAAAACACGGTTTCTTTTCATCTACTAGTTGCTTTGATAATTCAGTCCTCAACTCCATAAAAATGAGCTTTCAAATCTTTTCAATTTCTTTTCATTTTACCCCCACTACCCTCTATAGTCCACCCCACCCTACAAACCTAAAATACATATATTTTTATGGAACTGGTCGCCCATTCGATTAAATTTAATAGATTTTGTTTAAACATTGTATGTGCATTTAAAAATTAAAAATTCAAAACTCAGTTACATCATTATTGTAAAAGCTTAGAATCTATTACATTGAAATTCTGACAGCGCCTCTAATTATATACGTATATAAATGATACACCTATTTACGCGATGAGATTATACGTAGGAGTATATTTACTAATAGGTGTATGTAGAAAATACTGAATAATTTAGGCATGGTAACCCCCATAAATAGTGGTCCTTTTTATTAAAAAAATGTGTAGGGGTGGAAGATTCATTTTTAATTTGTATTTATTCAAAGTTCCCTATAGTTCACGCAATATATCGTTACTAAATAATTATTTTTATACATAATGCAAGTTGCTCGCGTGCTACTATTTTCTTTGTTTATTTCGTCCTTATGGGGTCATGCTTACGTTGATAATAATTGAGTCATTCAATATTAAATATCTAAGGGTATGTTTGGTATATTTTTTTAATTTTTTTTTTTTATGTTCAGTTATATAACATCAAAAAATAAGTTTACTTTAAAATGATAAAAATGACTTTTCTATAAAAGTAGAAAAGCAAATTACACGAATGATATTTCACAAATTATTTGTATTTTCCTCAGCACGAACACAACGTACCCCAATGTGGACTTTTTGGGAGCCAATTCCATTTTATGTTTCAATATTAATATATTAATTCTTCTCAAAATATAATTTAACAAGTATGCAAAATATAATAATTGAAAAAAAAAACTTATTTATTGTATGTTAGGTTAGTTGTCTTTTTCTTATTAACTAAAAAATAAATACTTAAGATTGCTAATTCTCTCCTTTTTTTCCCCTTACATATGAATGATGTGCAAGAACATTATTATAATCTAAATTAACATGATTCATGACAGAGATTTAATTTTGAATAATAGACAAACCATAAATCTGTTAAAGATAAGTATATACCGGACATATCTCTTTATTCTTTTCCTTTTAAGGACATTTTTTTTTCTTTTAAAAAAGACACCTATTTATTTTTAATTTTCCAATCGGATGTTTCATATTTATACTAATGTCTAGTTAAATTTAAATTCATACTGTATATATGAATAAATAAAATCCATGAAATTCAACAACGCTTGAGTTTTCTTAAGTAAGAATATTATAATAAACATTAATTGTATATCATAACGAGTCTGATTTTAACACCATTTAAAAAAAATAATCCTTAAATTTAACTAATTAACTCGAACCTAAAAACTAGATCATAATTATACTAATAAGGAAAAAATGAACACTCAAAACATTATTGTTTGTAACTTCCACCTTATTCACAAGTAGAAAGTTTCTATTGCCCCTTTTATATTTGCCAATGGGGCTAACACCCTAATTAAAAATGTCTAAAACAAAACAAGCTGGCTAATTCTTTAAATACTTTAATTTTTATTGATATGTAATTTAAGTATAAACTAATCATATATTATGCCATAAACTATATATACAACTCTTAATTTAATGAAAGGCCAAACTAATTAGATTTTTTAAAAATAAAATAAAATTTTGCTGAAAAAATCATTTAAGTACGTAGGATATTTGATCACTTTAGTCAACAAATGAGAACTAATTAGCCAAAAATTAAGACAAACGCGTGTATAATTTACCCTAATTAGCTTCCGCTGTCGTTACCCTTTGACTTTGTAATTAAGTCAACTAAATAAATCCATCATAAAATAAATAAATAAAAATAGCTTGTGTGTAAAGAGAGAAAAAAAAAAGCTGCTGATTTAAATAATATTTTTAGTCTTTAAATACCACTCAAACTTCATATTTTTAGCTATCAAAAAAGTCAGCGCCATTATTACTATTTCAATTTTTTTGTTCTCTTTTTCTTCTTTTTTTTTTTAATTTTATTTTAGCTTATGATGATAATGGATTGGGGTCTTCAAGCTGTTGTTATTGGATCATCAAGTTCATATAGTGCTAATAATATTGATTTTTCTCCAAAATTGGATTTTCAAGAAAGTGATCATCAATATTTATCTTTTTCACATGAGATGAAAAAAGAGTTTTTTATTAGTGATGAATTAGAAGAACTTTACAAGCCATTTTATCATGTTGATGGTGGACAAAATATGTTGATGGGATCTTCAATCTCATTAATTCCCAAAGAAATTATTAAAGAAGAGAAGAGAGAAGAAGAGCAACAACAAGTGGTGGCTCCTACTAGTACATATGTACCTAAGTACAAAAAAAGGTGAGGAATATTCATTGTGTATGTACATATCTTTCTTAACTGGTATGTTCGAGTCAGCTTGGTTACACGTTCTACTATCTTTTATCAACATAGATATCAGATGACTCTGTCTGTCGACAACACTAAAAATCATCTGATACTTTTATCTCTACTGAAATTTGAATATCGAATTTCAACGATGGTTAACCTATTTTATGTGATTTGGTTGAATATATGTGTGATGTTTAATTTGTTTGATCTTTTTTATAGGAAAAATGAACAAAAGAGAGTGGTGCTTCAGTTAAAAGCAGATGATCTTTCTTCTGATAAATGGGCTTGGAGAAAATATGGTCAAAAACCCATTAAAGGCTCTCCTTATCCAAGGTAATAATAAATTAATTTTCTCTAAACAACTTTTTATTGAATTATAATCTCTCTTTGACCCTTTTATTAAATGTTAAGAAATTAGAGTCTAATTCATCCCAAAAGTTAGTTAAAAGGTAAGTATTGATCAAAATCATATGAAAAAAAAACATTTTTTGTTTACCACAAATGATATGAGATCCTTAGGTTGAATATCTCGATAGTAGATAATATAATATGGTATCTTAATATCGAATAAATCAAGAATTCAAATAAGTCTAGCTTTGATTTCTTTATATCAATCTCAAAAATCAGCTTAAAAATGAATTGCTCAATATTATATAAAAATGACTAATTTTTCTTTCACAACGGAACATAGATTCATCCATTTTTCTAAATATAATGTATCATTTTCTCTTTTTAAAAAAAGAAGGAAAAACATCTCAATGTTGTTTTATTTATCTTTTTTTTTGTAAATAATAATAAAAATATGAGTAGTCATAATTTATACACGTTTTGAATTCTTTTGTTTTCTGACGTGGAATTTATAAAGTAGCAAAACATTGACACAACATATAAACATATGAGTATATCACGGGTAGAATTAATGACCTTTCAATCATTTGTATTTTCTTAGCACCTTACACACAGTTCATACTTGATTAATGTGAAAAAAATAATTTTTATGATTTTATCGTTACAGTGAGTAAAATTCAGTTGTTTTTAATGTGACGAAAGTGATTTGTAATTTCGGTTCGTGAACGATTGAACGATTGATCTTCAGCTCAAAATAATAACGTCGTATTTTTTTTTTTAATAACAGGAGTTATTATAGGTGCAGCAGTTCAAAGGGATGTTTAGCAAGAAAACAAGTAGAACAAAGTTGTACTGAAAATGGAACTTTTATTGTGACATATACAGCTGAACATAATCATAGTCAGCCAACACGTAGAAATTCTCTAGCTGGTACTATAAAAAGCAAATTTCCAAATTCAAAAAACACTAATATTAAAAAAAATATTGTGAAAGATGAAAAAATTTCAAGTCCACATGGTTCAACATCAAATAATAATTTAGGTTTTTCTCCAGAAACACTTATGATCGATGAATTTCAAGAAATCGAAATGAATGATCATGAAGAAATCAAAAATATGTTTGAAGGAAGTGATGAAAATGAATGTGTTTCAATTCAAGAAATGTTTGATGGAGATTTCTTTGCTGGTCTTGAAGATATTCATGATGGATTTACTTCTTCTTTTGGATGTAATAATTCTACATTTCCATTTTCTTTTTGATCATGTAATATATGTACTAGAATCCTTTTTTTTTCTTCTTTTTTTTGTAGAAATTATATAATCCATTAGGGAAAAAAAAAGATGTATAAGAGATTAATTAGCAATATATATGAACCTTTTTCTTTTACAAAAAGTTTAATTTCCAAACGAATAATTTTGCATAGAACTTTGGTAGGTGAAAGATGTAATTAGCAAAATGAGGTATGAAGCGATCTCAGTAGACTAGCAAAGAAAGAGTGACGTAGACTACTGGAGGTCATTCGAAAGGACTTCGTATAATTTTGAAGCATAACATTGTGGTTGTTCCTTCTCCTTTCGATTGACTGGCTTTATGCCTATTCTTACCGCGAAAAAGGAGTTCTAGAGAAATCTTTCATTCATATCTATTTTGATTTTTTAGTACTGTTTATAATACGTGTAACTATTTCTTATCATATATATACATATGTATTTTGATCATATTGATAAACGAGTTAATTGTATATCCACAATTTTTCCTAACTAAAACCTTTTCTAACTCAAATGTAGGTGAACAGTTCTCACCTTCACCAAATATTAGTAAAAAAATATAAATGATGAAATTAGGCTCGAGTGAAATCTCGGTGACAAGTATCAGTACAAGGATTTAATGTGAGTTTTTTTTTAAAAAAATAAAATCTAGTGGCATTCTCCTGAAGAATTAGCCTCATGTAGGTTACAAGTAGTTAGCAGGAAGGGGATTCTCTTTCGAAATACGAGTTTAGTGGAATTCAGTAATTTCAATTCAAATTTTATATTAATTTTTAAAAAATTCAAATTCAAATTTATAAACTTTAAATTCTGACTCCATCCTTATAATAATACAGTGAGATGTCACACTCCAAGACCGTGAGATATATCGTTCGTTTTGATCTAATAAATTTGATAAATTTGTCTTTTCGATTACACTTTATTATTGAGATAAATGCACATTATAATATGAATTTGTCTTATTCCTTACAAATTCTAGGGTTTCTCTCTATTTCAATATGTAATTCATTTAAAATGTCACGTGAATGGGATGTAACACTTAGATTACACATTTGCTCAAATCTAATAATTTAAATTTAAATTTTATATTTCATTTTAAAAAATCCTTAAATATTTACAAGTTATTAATTCAAAATTATTACAACAAATAATTGAAATTTTAAATTTCATCTCTATTTTTACATCCTATTATATAAGCTTGTCGGTTCTTATAAGTTATAGAAATTACTTGTAAGACTTTTCAATTAATTAGATGTCATCATTCCTAGTACGCGTGGATGTCGATAAATATGCACGTATCTGTTATTTTCATTGTTGAAGTCGTTTACTACTACTATTTGTTTTCGTCGTTATCTATAAATATAATACAATGAATAAAATTATTTAATTTTTAATTAAAAATTTTGAGTTTAAATTCCTTCTCTGCAGCACAAATTAAAATTAATCTAATTTTAATATAAATATTTAACCTCAAATTAAAAAAAGATTTGGTCAACAATTTGGGCCACAACTATTATGAGTAACTTTGTACAGTAAGGCGAAGACTTCGTCAGCATAAAACACTATTAGGGGTAGTTTGGTATGTTGCATAAATGTGCATAGTTTTAGAATAAAATTTTTACAAGTACAATTTTATATTTTATTTGATTATTAATCATGATATAAGTTATACAGAAATATAATTTCTATGGAGCTAAATTATCTTGTTAAAAGGTGGAATATAAGATTAATTATCTCGAAAGAAAAAAATTAAGGTATTTTTGAAGCAAATATTTTTATTTTTTCATTTAGGAGTATATAAAGTCAGAACAATTGATCTCAAATAACTAATTTTAGTATAACTTATCTTCAAATCAAACAATCTTTTATTTTATGTGTTCCTTTTTTAATTGATCTGACTTGACATTCGCTCTCGAATTGAAATTATTTTTTTGGAGTTTATTTTATCAAATTATATTTATTTATTATGCTTCAAAATTCTAAGTTTGAGTATATTTTATGTGTAATAAAAGGGGGGGGGGGATGAGAGAAACAATATATATTATTTTTAGCATATATGACAAGTGAAAAGGACGGATAAGCATCTAAACACATGAGTTTGATACATTTTTGATATTTATTTATTTCTATTATGTAATATTTATAGCTTCATACATTTATGATAATTCATTATATGTACATATATTTATCAATAATTGCATGACATTCACTTCTTTACTAATTTATCTATCACATAAAACCTGTTTTGTTAAATTGTGAATTAATTTCCCCATAGTGTTCTCCTTCTTTGGTTTGATCAATCAAAGCGGCCACGGACCCTATAAATGCTGCATTCATATAAGTCGTGGGTTCAGAATGAGAGTAATCTGATCGCGAATCAATAAATTGGTCCCCGGAATTAGGCCCACCGACGATCGCACCGACATGTGTGTTAGGGTTTGGATTGTTAGAATTGTACCATGAACTATAGCCATCGTTGCACCCCACCCTAGTTGGATGGTTATAAATTGAAGGGAGTGATGAGGCTCTATGGTGAAGTTTTGTTGGATATTTGTTGCCAAATCCCACCATGTATGACATTTTGAGTGGATTGTTTCCAAGTATGTAGTCAACCTGAAAAAATTAACGAGTTTAAGTTTCATTTATCGATATGTATAAAAAATATATATATACAATTAGATAATATAAAAAATAATTTTAAATATCGAAGTATTGATTCGTAACATGGAAAATGGTTAGTGACATATTATAATAATATGTTGGATGTAAAAAATTGTTATGTGCATTTGACCTGTAATTTTGCAAAGGCTTTAATCTTGGATGTGGAAAAATTAACAGATCCACATGTAACTCCTCCTATTCCAGCTGCCTCAAGGACTTTAGTGTACATAAAAAGTACCATAGTGGCACCATTCACATATTGCAAATTGCTACTATCTCTATAATACAAAAGTCCACCTGTAAATTATAAACCATAGTATAAGAAAGTATTATGTTATATTTTAAAATTCAAATATCAAGAAAGTATAGATTCTAAAATTTGAATATTTTCTTCTTCTTTTTTGTTTTACCTGGGGTTGTCTTAATTTGTATAGAGCTACTTTCTGGCATTAATCCACAAATAAATGAATCAGCATCTTTCTTGAATTTTTCCAAATTGCTCTTTCCATTAAGGTATTCCTGATCATAAAAATGTTTAGTAATTTGTACTTGTGATTGTTAAATTTAAATCACACTATGTTGAGCTACTCATAGAAATAGTAAATTTATCACTTATTTAACAAGTTAGTTATCATTTTTATCTAATTATCGATTAATGCTTATCTTAGAGATTTACTGAATTCGTTATATCTGATTGTATAAATGTATTTTACATTATTAATATATAGAATTTAACGTTTTAATTGTCTGAGCCCAAAATATTCTTGACATGGAGTAATATAGTCAGTTTTGGATCAAGCTCACGCGGTTTTTCCTTAAAAGGTCTCTATCTTTTAAGAGATGTAGTTTCTCAATCTTTTGAGCTTATCAGTGTAAGATTTTGTTTGCACATCCAACAATCTCCTCCTCACTATGTGGCCCATCACCACGACTCACGTGTCAATTCCCGAGATTCACTCTATATATTACAAACATTTGCCTTGGTCATACTCTTGATCCTAGTTGAACCTGGACTATGATATCAACTGTTGGGCTAAATCAATCCAAAGTACTTTTAACTCGGTGCAATATTATCTGTGTAGGATTAATTCTGCACGATTTAAGAGATCCTAAACCTTATACATAGCGTTTCAATTCTTGTAGCTATCGACATAAGAATTTATTCGCACACTGATCAACCAGAATAACAAATATAATATTTGAATTCATGTATAAAGGATTGACCTTAGCTAGTAAAGTTTGGGCTCCAGCAAACTTGTCATCCCAACTAAACTCAGAGGCAACTTGACTCCAACCTTGGTTGATTGAAGCATAATTTAAATAATTGTTTCCTCCACCTGCCTTATATAGCCAAGCAGCAGCCCACAACAATTCATCCTATAAAAAATAAATTAATTAAAAACACTAATTAACTTATACTTCAATAAATAAATAAATAATAGTAACAAATGAATAATTTTTGAAATTATTTACAACCTTATAACCTGAGTAGGAACAATAGAATGGACAAGAAGCTTGGTAAGATCCTCTATACTTATCCGCAAATGCAAATAACTGTGCGCCCAAATATCAATTAATTAATAATCTGTTCGATCAAGCTTTTAAAATAAATATTATTTTTTTTTCTAAAAGTTATATGCTTACGGATCTTGATCTTTTTAATAACTTTGTAGAATAGTTGGAATCAATATTTTTGAAAACTATTGAAGCAGCAGCAAAAGCAGCTGCCACGTCAGCTGCCACCTCAGATCCTGGAGAATTTGATGTTATTTTATATAGTGTTCTAGGAGTATCCATGTCTTCTGGTCTTTCCCAACATTGGTGATCTGCATTTCCATCTCCAACCTGTCCATATAATGTATTTGTTAATATTACATAACTCGTTTTAAAGTCAGATTAATTTGAATTCACGTCAAAAAGTTTTACTTTAAAAGGTAAAACGTTTCTTATCAAAAATGATTTCATTTTCAGAATTTGTGCACACCAACATGTTACAAATTAGCTTTTTGGACTCTGGACCGATACTTAACTTCCTGAAGATTTCCTAGTTAAGGATGGAGGAATACTGATAATATAAAAATACAAATGTCGCAAATTCAAAATAAATAAATAATGGTTCTCATTTTTGATACTTTTTAAACTTTTAGACAATATGGTACATGTAATTCGATATTCTATTGTAAAAGAACGATGTCTTAGATTCAAGCGATCTCTTTACTACACAATACAAGAAAAGAATAATTTTCATGCGTTTAACCTTAAGGGAACGAGTTGATGAGCATGGTGTAAACCTAAAATATATAATTTAAAATTTTAAATGAGACGATACACTGACCTGAGTATAGAGAGTTGTACTTGAAGTATGGGCTCGAATTAAGAAATTTGTGCCCCAACGAAT